AGGAGACAGTCAGTGACCTGCTGCATCACACAGACACACACCAGTCTATGGGACCAGATGGGATATACCCGAGGGTGCTGAAGGAGCTGGCTGGGGTGCTCGCCAAGCTGCTTTCCATCGTTTACCAGCAGTCCTGGCTGACCGGGGAGGTCCCAACAGACTGGAGATTGGCCAATGTGATGCCCATATATAAGGGTCAGAAGGATGATCCAGGAAATTACAGGCCTGTCAGCTTGACTTCGGTGCCCAGGAAGGTGATGAAGCAGCTCAACAAGGAGGGCAGGGAGGGGTAAGAATTGAACCACCACACTGGGGTTTTTGTTTTGTTTTTTTTTTTTTTTTAATTCCTCCAAAAATGTTCAGGAGAACTTGCAATACTCTCAAGTTACTTCTGGATTTGACTGTCTTCAAACAGATTGACAGTTCAGTAGAAAGAGACTAGTCATCCTGTATTTCTTTTTGCGAAGCTTTTGGTTTTGGTGAAGTTTCAACATGTGGTGAATACTGTTCTAGGCAAAACACAGGACATATATGTTTTCTCTGTTGTAGCTGTGCCTGAATTCTGTTCACAAATATAGATCGATTTTTCTTTGACTTCATCAAAAATGGGCATTTCTGCAACAGTGTTTCCTTGTTCTTCTACAGCTGTCTTGGGCTGATGTGAACAAGAGAGAAGACAGACTTTTGAGACAACCAAATTCATCACCCCTTCATTCTAACTTTGAAATCCCACTGGAAGCAAAGTTAGAAAAAATTACCCTAGTTTTTTCATTACATTCTCCTGGCTAAAAACCTACCATGAATTTCTGTGAAATGGTTTGAAAAGGCAGTGGTATATGAAAATTGTCAAATCTACTTAGTAATTTGGGTGTTTGTATAATTTTTTTTTCCCCAGTGTTGACTATCCTTATTTTATCCCAAGCAGTAAGAGGGAATAAAAAAGATCTTTTGTTATTATTATTACAGCTGTTCAGAGTTATCATGAATATTCATACACTTATAAAAATTTAACTTCAAGATTTATATTATTTTATTGATTTGAAACACTTAGCCATGCTGCACAAGCAGACTTCTTCAAGGCTGAGATGTACTTGTTTATCTCACAATAAAGGATGGTATAAGCCATACAAGAAGACATGTTCCCTGCCTGACAAGTTCCCTGTTTAAGGGATGAATACATAATTGGCAAACACCGAATGAGTTTTCAGAATAGGTTTGTGAGGTCAGATTAACAGAAGAGTTAAGTTTTGAAAAAGTAATGGAAAGAGCTGTAGTTCTGTAGTTAGCACAGGAAGGAGTTTCTGAAGCATAACAGAAGAAAAAAAAAAAAAAAAAAAAAAAAAAAAAAGAGAATCAAAAGGATGGAGATGAGATAGAATATGTACTCATAACAAAGGAGAAATGAGATCATTTACCAAAGGAGTGAAGAACTGTGGAGAGCCTTGAGAAGGAAGAGCAACAACAGGGAACCTGGCAAATTATGTGAAAGAAGGAGGAAAGTGAAATAATCCAAGGGACCCTCGAGGGGACAGTTTTAACTTTCACTGGAGTGTACAGTAAAAATCAGAGTTGTCTATCTAAATAAAAATAGTCCCAAATGAGGCATTAATCCTGATAACAATGAATAAATACTACAGTCAAAAGTGCAATTCTGTCTGGCATACCACTCCTGAATGAGGCAGCTGATCCACTTTATCTAGGTGAGGTATCTCAGAGCACTCTTGTTTAAAACAATGTTAATGGTTTTGTAGTTTTGTAGTTCAAGTAATATATCTATTCAAATATATGTTTTTTTCTTTTAAATTGACCCAAAATGTTCTTAAAAAGTAAAAACTACTTAACTTCATTGCCTGATTGGTAACAGCGCTGTTACAGCACATGGCAATGTTTTTGTTGGTTACTTTCTCTCCAATGCCAACAGAATTATTTGAAGAGGAAGAGCTCTGATAGAGATCATGTTACAGTTTACAGTCTGTGACCACAAATGCTCTAGCATCTGATCTCCAGCTGGGTTTCAGTGGGATACCTTGGATCAATCTGTATGCAGAGAGCTACAGCAGAGATTCTATCTCAGTTGTTGATCAGGAACCAAACTGAAGCACAGCATAGGGCCCAAAGGCGGTTATGAAATGTCTTTATTGCAGCAGTTACTATATGCTTTCCTGTCTTGGGGTGGAGAGGTGAGGAGGCATCTTGCTGACTTTTCTGTTGGAGGTTGGTCAATGACATCATCACATGGCAATGTGAGATACATAGTGAAGAACTGGTTTCTTTGGATTCTTTGCACTACGGGGAATAAACATGCAAAGACCATGCTGAGGGCGAGCACATCAAAACACTTTCTCCTCTGGCATAGTCTAGAATACATTTTTAAAGCTCTAGTCCAAATAGTCTGACTGTGAAACAAGTGTGGATTTCAGATCACACTCAAGGAATAGTATAGATCTATCCATTTACTCCAGGAGGCTTTCAAACATTCTGGAGTATCCCCCTAGCAATTTTGTATGTAAGTTATTGAGCTATGTTTTACATGGAGCTATATTTCACAAAGGAAGGACCCAGGCTTGACAGTATGGGATCCTGTGGCAACTGATGTCTACTAAAGCACACACATGAAGGCAGGCATGGAATCTTTAATAAGTCTGATACCCTTAAAAACTAGATATTTCTTCCTCTTTATATTTTATTTGCTGCATTTCTTCACTATGGGTAGAAATGACCTCATACTTAAAACTCGTATTTTCTTTCTGTATGGAAATATTAGATATTTTAGGCCCATTCCAACAGTATATCAGCATATAAAACTGCCAGAAAAATCATGATTACTGTTTAAAGTTGATCAAAAGTTGGAAAGATGTGCTTGATGATGTGCTGAAAACCTAAATCACATATTTTACCTATCAGAAACATGCTGCTCTGAGAATTTAGCCTGTTTCGGATTCATATCTTGATGGTGAACTCCCTGTGTATTCCCTGATACCAAATACATAGTTGCCCACATGAATCCTTACTCTCTCAGGAGAACCTTTCAGCAAAATATCCATCTCCTCTGCTCAGCTGCCTATGACTGTGAAATTTATAGGAACAGAATAACTTTGAGAGCACTATCCATCACATTTAACCACATTTGGCTAAAATTAGGTGATAGTGCAAGGCAGACAAACAGGATGCTCCTACAAGCATGAAGCAAGGCTGAAATGAGGAGCTCCTCCACCACATGTGTTCGTTTTTGTGGAAGCCAACAAACATTAAGGCTGCAGACTAAACAGAAACAGCAGTATCTTGTATAACTTGTCAGGTTTTTGCATATTTCTCTTCATTATTTTCAACAATTCTACCCATTTCTCATATATGAGAATCATTTTACTTTCCCCGTAGACCATCAGCTCAGATATATTATCAGTTATGGAATTCATCCAAAATCCCCTGATGTGCTTGGCAAAATCACACTGATTTGAACTGATTTTGGAGGGTTCTAACATTCTGCAAGTGTGTAACTAATATTTATGCTAGTTTCTTTGGTTGCTCTTAATATATGTCTTGTCATCTTTGTTGGTAGACAATGCTATTATGGACAGAAAAGTAATGGAAAACACAAGTCTTTCTCAAGAGACAAAAATTAATTCCCTTATTCCTGTGTCTCATCTTCTAAGGTGTTTCTTTATATCAAGAATAAATTCATTTTCTCACACTACAATAAAAACAGAGGGAGAATATATCTGTCTAAATGAGCATAACTGATTTCTAGGCAAAGTATCAAGTATTTATGTTTGCGGGGAAAAAAAAAAAAAAAAAAAAAGTGGCAGATCTCAAATAAGCATTAAGTAAGTATAAAGATTAACATGTACTTCCAGGCAAATCAGCTTATTTCATAGTGTTTTGTCTCTTGTGTTTTAATGTGCCAATCATTCAGAGAATACTATGATTTTTAATCATCATATTGTTGACATAATTAGATGAAATTATGCTTAAAAATATTACTGACCTTTCATGTATTACTACAAAGGAAGATGGTTTTAGCAGTTCCTTAGAAATGCTAAATAGCTAAGTAAGAGTTGCTTGGAATGCAAATTGAAGAAATCCAGAGTTTCCTCCAATTCTCCTATCGAGATTTCTGTGGGTGTCCCAGGGCAGCCACTGTAGTCATTCTTTTAACCATAGTGTTTAATGATATGCAGGAATTTTGGCTGATTTAACTGCAGTAGCTTATTCCATATTTTTTTCTTCTAATGTTGGTATACCACATAAAATATATATTTTTCTTATCCTCCAGCATTTGATGTTCTGTTAAATTAAAAAGAAATCAATTCCCGCTGTGCATAATTTTCAAAATGAAAGTGAATAAAAGGGCCCTGCCCCCAACCCCATTATGCTAATGGTGACTTTGGGGAATCACCACAGAAGTTGTGAAGTTTTCATGAAAAACAACAAATCGCCTGCTAAGTGTATAGGATATGCAAAGAACTCTTGCAAGTGAGAAGAGCTTAGCAGAGATACAACTAGTCTCCACTGAAAGGAAGTCTTCCACTGCCTCACCAGGAGATGACCATCAGCTCAGGTAATGAGAAAGCAGGTAATGGAAAAAACATACATAGGTAAGGGGAAAGCAACATTTATCATTAGCTGAAGGTAGTGTTAATTGGTTACTTTCACTGTTGGAAAGAATTTTGATCACAAAATCGTCTAGGTTGGAAAAGACCTTGAAGATCATACAGTCCAACCATCAGCCCAACATTAACAGTTCCAAATTACACCAGATCCCTCAGCGTTATGTCGATCCGGCTCTTAAACACCTCCAGGGATGGGGACACCATCACCTCCCTGGGCAGCCCATTCCAACGCCCAACAACCCCTTCTGGAAAGAAATGCTTCTTAATATTCAGTCTAAACCTTCCCTGATGCAATCTGAGGCCATTACCTCTTGTCCTGTCGCTTACTTGGTTCAAGAGACTCATCCCCAGCTCACTGCACCCTCCTTTCAGGGAGCTGTAGAGGGCGATGAGGTCTCCCCTCAGCCTCCTCTTCTCCAGACTAAACCCCCCCAGTTCCCTCAGCCGCTCCCCGTACGACCTGTGCTCCAGACCCTGCACCAGCTCCGTTGCCCTTCTCTGGACACGCTCGAGTCATTCAATGTCCTTTTTGTAGTGAGGGGCCCAAAACTGAACACAGGAATCGAGGGGCGGCCTCACCAGTGCCCAGTACAGGGGTCAGATCCCTTCCCTGTCCCTGCTGGCCACGCTATTGCTGACACAAGCCAGGATGCCATTGGCCTTCTTGGCCCCCTGGGCACACTGCTGGCTCCTGTTCAGCCGGCTGTCAATCAACACCCCCAGGTCCCTCTCTGACTGGCAGCTCTCCAGCCACTCCTCCCCAAGCCTGTAGCGCTGCTGGGGGTTGTTGTGGCCCAAGGGCAGCCCCCGGCATTTGGCCTTATGGAAACTCCTCCAGTTGGCCTCAGCCCATGGCTCCAGCCTGTCCAGGTCTCTCTGCAGAGCCTCCCTACCCTCGAGCAGATCAACACTCCCACCCAACTGGGTGTCATCTGCAAACTGACTGAGGGTGCACTCGATCCCCTCGTCTAGATCATCAATAAAGATGTTAAACAGGAGTGGCCCCAACACCGAGCCCTGGGGGACACCACTCGTGACCGGCCACCAACTGGATTTAACTCCATTCACCACAACTCTCTGGGCCCGGCCATCCAGACAGATTTTTACCCAGTGGACCATATGCCCATCCAAGCCACGAGCAGCCATTTTTGCCAGGAGAATGCTGTGGGAAATGGTGTCAAAGGCCTTACTGAAGTCAAGGTAAACAACACCCACAGCCTTTCCCCCATCCAATAAGCAGGTTGCCCTGTCGTAGAAGGAGATCAGGTTTGTCAGGCAGGACCTGCCTTTCACAAA